ATTGCTCTCGCTACCGCAGAGACGGTACCCCCAGCCCGGCCAATGGGCAGGTCAGACAAACAGGACTAGGCGATGCTGTCTGCATACAGGCGAGCAGGAAAATAACAATCCTTCTTAAAAACCAAGTCTCTCAGGTCCAGCCACTGGCAGCTGCAGCCGACTGAGTCCAATCACCTCCACGCCTCCCTGCTCTGAGTCCTTCACCGTTCCCTAGATATGCCCTGCTCTGGTACAGTCAGCGTTGGCTGTGTTTGCACCCTGCTCACGCTCCCCGCAGCGGGTAGGAGGGGAGTTTTCCAAGCTCTTGCCCATCGGTGCGTGCCCAGCGTGGGGCCCTGGTCACCCACGCATCCCTTCTTCCTTTGGTTTAGGTCATGGGGGTGGTTTTTTTTATACGTATTATTTTGTTTCATCTCGAGAGCGTTCCCCAGGCTGGTCTGGGGGGCCGGCGGGTCAGTAGGGGGTGGTGCCTTCCCATTCCACCAGATACTGGACTTTCCCCTCCGGGGTCACCCTGCGAGCCAGCACCTGGTACTTCTCCCCGCACACCAGCCTGCCGGCAGCTCCGAAGTAACTGGTGATGGAGGACTTGAGGTGGGAGAGGGAGGAGTCGTCCTCGCTGATGCTCTCGAAGGTGTGGCTGTCGATGCCGTCGTCCTGGCGCTCGGGGGCGCCGGCCGTCTCGCTGCTCTCCGAGGCGCAGCCGTTCAGGGCCCCCCCTGCCTCGACGCCTTTTCTCTTCGCTCCCACCGGGGCATAGGCCTTGGCGGCCAGCTTGCGCTTGCGGCTGCCCACGTTCCTCCTGCTGGGGGAGAGGAGGAGGGAAGGGATGAAGCCATGCAGGGACAGAAGAAGAGACAATCGGGCACGAGGCTGGCGGCGTTGCGGGCTGTGCCCAGGGGCTCCCACGTCCCAGAGCATGGAGCCCGGGCGGGCATTCGCTGCAGAAAACGCTCCCTAGCTTTCAGCGTCCCAGCCCCACCACCGTGTCCTCATGCGTGCACCACGCAGCGAAGCATCTGGTTTTACACCATTCGCCACCTTTCCGACGGGTAAGTCAAGGCAGAGGCACGGAGGAGGCTACTGTCAGGAAGCAGCGACCTAGCCTGGGATGGCTCCCAGAGACAGACCGAAGCCTAGCTATGCCTCCGCTGCCTTGGCTAGAGGCTGGTGCCTGGGCCATAGGGATGGGAGGTGGGGAGGGGAGAGCAAGGGGCAGGGTCAAGTGCACGCCATGTCAGCGCAGAGCCAAAGGATGAGAGCCCCCTTTCTGGCCGCTTCCCAGCCCTCACCTCGACTCATAGGACAGGCTTGTCGTTGCGGAGCCCGACGTGCTGGCAGCGTCCGTAGAATCCAGGTCAGACAGGAAAGTCTGACCCGAGCTGGCGCTGAAAGGGAGTGAACCAGGAGTCAGTGCCAGGGCACGATCCTGGCACCACTGCTCACCCACCAATGCTTCTGCATGTGCTGGGGACACCAGCCACACATGTGGCCCTTGCTGCAGCACGCGCAAGGGCACCGCATGCACCGGGGCCCCTGCTGCTCTGTATAATCCACCAAGAACATCCTAACCTACAACCCTCCGGCACAGGGTTGTGGGAGTAGCTAGCCTCATTCAGCCCTGACCCCACGGACCTCATGTACATCTGGGGCTGGATTTCCCCCATGACTCCTTCAGTCTTGCCTTTCACTCTGGGTGTCTCTCCTCTGATAGGACATGCTGGGGAAGTGGATGCATGTGGAGGCTCACTAGGAGGGGGAGATGCACACTTCTATATATCCAAGCCCGTCTGGCTTTTCTCCTCGCTCTTTGGCACCCAAGACCCCCCGACCCCACCCCGTTGCATCCGAGCACTTACCTCTTCAAGCTCTGAATTTCATCCAGCGTGAAGTCGAATATGCTGGCCAGGTGGTGGTTTGTGCTCCAGGCAGACGTGAAGTCACTCTGCACGGTAAACAGGGGTGTATTCGTGGGTTAGAAACAGCAGGGCTCAGCACCGGGACATCACCGTGCTTTTCTCTCCCCTTCCCATCCCCTGCACATGGCAGCGCGCCCCGTGCCCGGGACAGCCCCTCCGCGGAGCCAGGGCGAGGCGAAGGCACAGGCATGACACGCACAAGGGGCCGTGCCAACCAGGTGCTGCTTTTACCTGGGCCTAGTATGCGACAGAGGAGCCAACAGGCCATCCTGAAGGATGAGCCAGAATGGGAGCTAACTACGTGGGGGACATCTGAGGATGCCAACGGATGTTGGGAACACTTAATTACTTCTGACATCTCAAATGCAGAGAGCAAGACGGGGAGTCACTTGCTTGTCAGGGCACAGAGCCAGCCCCAGAAATCAAAGCCTCTAATTCCTACCTCAGTGCTCTAGCCACTAGCTCCTACTTCCTCCTCCTCACCAGACTTCTCTCCCCATCTGATGCATGTTAAATTGCCACACGTGGCCGTATCAAGCATCATAATCCATTCCCCACTCTGGCTTCCTGCTTCTAGGCATGGTGTGTGATGAGGGAAGCAGGCTGCACATGGCACGTCGCCGGGTATCTCTGCACCTGCCTATGTTACCAGCAGAAGTGCATTGGCAAAACAGCCAGCGGGAAGCAGCATTCAGCTTCCTCTGGGCCTGTTGCAGCCAGGAAGACATGAGCAGCCCAGAGATCAGGCTCAATTCAACATGTGAAATGCAAAACAGAAAAGCACCTGAGCCACCCAGCCCTGGAGAACAGAGTCCCGGACAGTCAAAAGCCCCGAACAGACACACACACAATAAAAAAAACAAGAGTAAGAAACTAACGCTGGGAATAGCATCCTCCAACAAAAATTTTGATTTTTTTCTTCTAGTAACTCGCCTTTTCTGCTGTTGAAAATCATGGGGCAGCAAACTGTAAGAGCAAAGAAGAGACACAAATGCAAGTCAGACTTATGGAAAGGCTGGGAGTTATGTGACAGGCCTGAGGGGAGAAAAGGGACGGCCTCTACTTTGGCTCCAACCAGCCAGCAAGAGCCCTAGGGTGGAGAGATGTATTCAAAGAGCCCAGGGAGCTGCTCGCTTCTTGTTGGGATGCAAAACCGTGGGATGCTGCACACCGCGGGGGACCCCAAACTTCTTGCCCGGGTCACAATTCAAGGTGCCGGCAGATGCTACGGTGGAAAATCCCGAAGGGCTAATGGGGAAGCCAGTCTCCTTAGGAAGAGAGGCAGGAGCCAGGGAGGTGCAGCGGGGTGGACTGGGCACTGACCTGTTCTTATGGGCGTATTGGCTTTTTCCTCTCTTCTTCAGCTCCGAGGGTCTGGTCTCGCCCATGCCTGGGACCTTCTCCGGCAGGAGCTTGCTGGGAGGGTTTGGCGGGACGCGAATGCGCAGGCGAAAGATGCATTTCTTCTTCTTGATTTCCTTGCCACAGAGAAATCTGAGGAAAAAGGAAGCACCTCAGCGCCCGAGGCTCGTGCCGTGCGTGTGCAGAATAACTCTTCACCGACAGCTCCTTCGCCTCCCACCCCTTCACCCCCAGCAAACACCTCCCGAACCCCTGGCGATCTCAGCCCCTGCTCCTTTCCAGCACCCAACTCACCTGCTTTTATAGCTGTTTAGTGCATTGAGAAGGTGCGGGCCTCTTTCTGCGAGGGGGGTGCCCATTAGCTGGGAGAAAGATCGGCACACAATTAGCGTTGCGGAAGCCCGAGCTGCCTATCGCCAGAGCGCTGGCTGCCACGCCGTACAGCGGCAGCAGTCGTTCGGCACTTCAACAGTGGGGGGAACCCGAGCTTCAGTTTTCAGCTCCCAGTTAAGGCAGGTGAAGCTCAGACACGAAGCACAACAGGCAGGGAGCAAACAGAGCAGTATCTGCCACACACCTTGTCATCCTTGCAAGGATGAGAATAACCTTACGATGCCGCCAAGGGAAGTTATAATTGCTCGTTTCCAGATCGCATTCCTGCCAAGATTGTACCCAGCCTCCACCCAGCCCTGCTATTTCCACAGGCCTCTCTACCACCGCTCCAACCAGGAGTCACCATCACTAAGTCTGTCAAGAGGGCAAAGGAGGGGGAGGCCGCCAAGCTTGAAGGAAGCTGGTCCAACTGTTTTGGAGTCATGCTCCTAAATTATTATTTGCACTGCATTCTTCTGATTAGAGGTGGACCCCACATATAATTTTATGGGGGTGCAGGTCGACTTCTAACATCGGAGCCGTGTGTCGGTACGGTAGTGCAAAGGGACGCCGCCATGCCAAGCACTCCCCAAGCACGCAGCAATAATGAGAGCCCCTTCCCCGGAGAGGTCAGGGCACGCGTGTCAGGCACGATGCAACTAGTGGACGCAAGAGGGGCCGGAGGAGACCAGAAGAAATAGGAGCTCAGTGGAAAAGCAGCTGGCTAAACCAGGCCACTGTCAAGCACCAACAGCTAGAGACAGTTTAGGTTAGTACTAAAAAACCCACTGATCGTTGATACGGGGCACAAACGCTCACAGATGATTTGCCTCTGAGAGGGCAACAGACCAAATCCACTTAAAGGCAGTGGACAAAACCCATCTCTTTACCAGAGAAGGGGAGGCAGAGACACGTTAAAGGCATTGCCTCACCCGCTTCTAGGGGCACCAGAGAGGAGCAGCAGGCTCTGACCGCGACAGGAAGATGCTTGTTTGAGCTGGGGGAGCAGCCAGCCGCAGTATGTGGATCTTGGCCGCTGAAAACCCCAAGTACAAACGAAAACGCAACTCATCACCGCGGGATTTTGCTTGGAAGCAGCTTCCTACCCACACGACACTCAGCCTCCAGCTCCTCCCAGCCAACACCATTAGACACGTGAGCAGATGGGAACGGAGGCTTCCAGCCACCGTGCGACCCAGCCTGGGCTGCAGGATTTTCCCTGCAGCTGCCTGTCCCTTGGTGGAGAAAATCCTGGGCCCCTCATATTTACCTTTCCGAGCTGCAAGGGATCCCAGTGGTGATTTATAAAGGCTAAGATTTCCTCAAAGTCAAAGTACTTCTTTTTGCTCTGCACACCCAGGTTATAGAGGGCCAAGTGGACCACATCAACCCTGCGGGAGCAAAAGATACGGGACAGGCTGAGATTCTGCAGGCAGCCATGGCCCCGCGTAGTCCAGAAGAATTTAAAAAGACATTTACATTTATTTCCGCTTTGCAACGGATAATGCTATAGCTGGGAGCCCCAACTGCACTAGTGGCTGCTGGCTGGGACCTTGACAGTGCATCCTTTAAGGACCTCAAAGGCACACGCTCCCTGCACCCACGTGAGATGGGGAAACAGGATTATCCCATTCTACAGGTGGGGAAACCGAGGCACAGACAGGCGACTTGACTGGCTCACAGCAAGCCAGGGGCAGAGCTGGGAATGAGGGCTGCTCTCTTGACACCCAGATGCTTGTCAGCTTCAGCCAGAGGCTCAGGAAAAGAATGGGGCCAGGGGATTTAACGTGCGGTGAACAGTATCTAGCTGAACTGCAGGAGCCTGCAGGCAGTTCACTGTTTTGTGCTGGTGGGATTTATGTTGAGCCCCCCTGAAAATGCACCCAAAGCAACACTGGTCATATACGGCATCCCTCCGTCTGACTCTACAGTGCCACGCTGCTCTACGCAGCAAAACAGCTGCTGTGCCTCATCCCAGAGGGGACACAGAGACGGGTTAAACAACCTTTACGGCCTCCCCGCAGAGGGTGCTGGGGATTTATTAACATTCGCAAAGTGCTTTGAGAGCCTCACAGAGAAGGAGGATGGGTAATTTTCCCCCCAGATCAGCGTTTGCTATGTAAACTTGTGCTTGATCCCTTAAATAAAAGGTGACGTGCGACAAGGGCCTTATCTGCCATGTTCCGGCTCACGTACGAAGTGGCAGCGGGTATCAAGCAGAGGCTTCCTGCAGCAACGCAGCCATGCCATGCGGCACCAGCAGCAGTGCCTACTGCAGTGCCCCACGTGCCCAGCAGCCAACCCTTACCATCTCAAGGGCAGGCGCTTGATGTATTCTGGCCCCTGGTTGCACACCGAGCAGAAAAAGACGTAAAACCTGAAAGAGACAGAGAGAGGCCTGGTGAGACCGTGAGAGGGGGCATGGATTTGGGATCCTGCCTCTAACTGGGTCTGTGCATGCAGGTGGCAGGTGCTCCTTTGGGCCATGCATCGCAGCATCACAGCTGTGCTTGCTCCTGCACAAGGCAACAGCAGCTGCAGGATACCCCCAAACCCCTCCTACAGCAGCCCGTGTTGCACCAGCCCCTTCTTGGGTGGAGAGAGATGGTCACTGCAGAGGCGGCGGAGATAACAACTGTGGCACCCCTCATCGCCTACCAGCTGGGACAGATGCACAGGATGCAACCACCGCAGGCTGCTCTCACTGCTGGGCTACAATCCACCAATGCTGCTGAGCGACCAGAGGCTGGTAGCTCTGCTCGGCATAATCCACACAGACACGCACAACCCTGCAACCAAGCCCACGTGAGCAGTCAGCAAGCTCAGCTGGGGCCCTGCTTGGATTTCCGCTTGCTGAAAGCCAGTGGCTTCCAGCCAAGCCTCCGGACAGACCTCTGGCTGCGCAATGGTCCCAGGACACCCGAATCAAGAACTGTATTTGGGGATGGAGAACAGTCACCTGGTTCCAGCTGCTAGCAACACATCTGCGAGCACCCCAGGAAACAGTTGCGGGTGGAAACACAGATCGACGAATGCACAGCTCGCAGGAGGCCCCCGGGGAGCTTCACTTAAATATCCAGGCACTGAGCAAAAGCAGAGCTTGGGAAGGACTTACCGGTCTCCAAACATCATGGGGTCACTAAGGCACTGGGTGCAGGCCTCGTGGAACCACTGCCTGCAGCGGTAACACTGGAGCATCTTCAGGTACCACCTGGGAAGGAAAACAGGTTTGAGCACTGTCACCGGTAGGCAGCAAACAAGGGGTGATTAGCACAGCACCTCGGCTCTGCCAGGTGTTTTATACGTAAGCCCTGAAAACCTGCCGTCACCCTGCCTTCCTGCAGCTGTTCAAACTGATGCAAAGTGGGCTGGCAATGCTCCCCCACTGGCAGTACGGATACTTCCCGCGTCTCTAAACTGGGGGCTGTCGGAGCCAAGCTCTGCCTCTACGTCCAGCACAAGTGACCAGACTTGGCCTGGCTGGAAATCCCAGGGGACAGATGCCTGTGGCTCTTGTTTCTCTGCCTTACCACGTGGGGCGAACTCCTCACCATCCCGGCTACTAGGGGTTAGATTCAATTCAAGTCTCAGCAGCAAGTAAAATGTATATGTGCACCCTCTGCACTGCAGGCACAATGGTTTGCCCTTGCGATGTCTCACCAACCCCAGCCCTACCAGCTAACACGGGCGTGGGAGAAGGATCTGGGTCTCGTCTGGCTCATGTTCAGGAGGGTCCCCACTGCCCTCACTGAAACGCCTAGCAAGGGCCCCCATCCTCTGCCCACCCAAGCACATGCCCTGCCTCAGTCATGTCTGGGCAGGGGGACATTGCTCTTCTAATAGCCCTGGTTTATTCTTGCCTGCTTTGAGCCCAAGTGCCAAGTAGTAACGTGCATGGCCTTACTCTCCTGGGCCCCCACAGTAGCAGTAGCACTGCTGCTGGTTGGTCCGGTGCGGGGAATCCCACTCCAGCTGATCCGGGTTGTAGGACAGCACCATCTTGACAGCTTGCAGCGTCTTGGCAATGGCTCCCTTCTTCAGGGCACCGCCTTTCTGCGGGGACAACCAGACACTGGCATCAGCACGCGCACCTCGGGGCAGCTCGCACCTCGGGGCCGGATCCAGGCTTCGCTGGCTGCCAGGAGCATTTTGCAAGCTGCTTCGTGGGCAGCAGCCTCGGACCCCGGGCTGGGAGGGAGAGTCCGAGGCCGCTGGCTCTCTTCAAGTCTGAACAGACACAGGCCCGGGGTCAGAAACCCACGATTCAGGCCTGGCCCCGAATTATACCGCACAGCCGACATGGCCGCCGGCAGCGATGCAAACCGGCCAGGAGGGAATTCACTAAGGCTTAAGCAGATGGGAAACAAAGCTGTTCTAAGGGAGCCTACGGCTGTGGCAGGAAGTCCTGGATTAAGCCCCTTTCTCTTGTTGGGACAGACGGGTCCCGAGGGGAGCGTTTGCTTTTGAAACATTTCCAGGATTTTTTACAAGTTGATCTGGGGTTAAAAAAAAAGCAGGATCTCAGCTGTGCTGGTGGAGCTGGGACGGAGGCAGGCAGCACCGCAGAGCTGCCGCGGCTTCCTCCCGCCCAGCTACAACGCGCCCCCTCTCCACACACCGACCCCGTCCTACACGGGGCATTTCCCAGGGGAGGGACACAGCCCCGGGGAGCCCGACGACTCCGTCCTGCTGCCCGGTCACTCGGGGGCTGCAGAGAAGTCGCACGTCAGCTCTCAGGGACACGTTTTTCCGCACATTTTGGAAGCCGCCACACGAAGAGGGAAAGAGGTAAATAGCAACCCGAGGTTAGCCCGGCACTCACCCGCACGGCGAGGGCAAATATGCATCTCCGGCAGAACCACGGCGTCAACACCGACTCGCCGCTGCTGGTCACCACGGGGATGTGGCATTGCTGGTGGTAACCTGGGGGAGGACGGGCAGTGAGCTGCAAGCCAAGCAAGGGGGACCGTGCAATAAGGACTTCCTTGCTGTGTGCACCGGCACGGCACGGCCACAAACTGATGCCGTAACAGCAATAATTCCCATGCTGGAAGGAGACATAAACCATGCCCTGCGACTCCCTACCAGGTCAGGCCCGATTCTCCCTGCCTCCAGATGCCAGCCTGGAGCTCACCCACCCTGACGCGGGTGCGTGGGCAGGCAGCTCACAGGGAGGTGCAGAAGTGTGGGCATGCCCGTGAGCGAAAAAGGGACTCTTGGCTATTCCTATCAACGTCCTCTGAGCATCTCCCGTCATGTACACGTGCACTTGGCTCACGACCAAGCAACAAATGTGGCCCGTGTCTGCAGGTCTAAGCTGCTGACTAGTGATGCTGACACCCATCCCACCGAAGCCCAGGGCATGCCTGCCCAAGCAAGCAAGACATGCACAGGACGTGGCCTCGAGTGACCGAGAACCACCTCCACCGTGTGTCATGGCGTGCATCTGACTGTAGACATATGCGGAAGAGCCTGCTCCATGCATCTTAATCATCGTGAATTAACTAGAGGAGAGCACTTCCTATGTGGGGATCAGGCTTTGTCCGTGTCCCTTTTTCTTCCCCTTCCCCTTCCCCTGCAACAGTGTCGCTGCCTGCCAGAGCCCAAACCATACAGATTAAAACAAATATCATTGCCAGGGGAAGGTCGGCATCCCCGGGGGAGCTGGGCAGACCGCAGAAGCAGCGAGGCAGCTGGGCTTCACTCGGTAGAGACAGGTCGGGGTAGCAAGCAGGGATTGCAGCCTCCCCTCAGCCTGGAGCAGTTGCTCGTACCTAGACCACACTTCCCACAGATGAGGATTTCGTTCATGGGCCCAGACGTCTTTCCCAGGCAGATGTTACACTTCGGCTCCTCTCCAGGGACACCAGCTAAAAAACAGAGCAATGCAGCACAGAGTCAGAGATGGGAGATTCAGGCACGATGGCGCTGGACAGGCGGTTGGTCACATTATGTTACTTGGCACACACGTGCATGCACCAAGGTAAAGGCCAAGTGTCTGCTCCCAATCCGATGGTGGATCAGAGAGCCAGAAATCCTGGCTGGGCTGCTGGACCAGCTGATGTTACACCTGTATGAGCATAGACATGTCCTTGATAGGGGCCAACCTACGTCGTGACAGAGGGGTGCTTCACCCAGACTCTTCTTGGAGACGCCGAGCATCCTTCTGCTCTGCCGCCACAACTCAGCAAGGAGGGAGGGGAATTATTTTCCCTAGCTGGTTGCTCTTCAATGAGCCTCCAGTCCCTGTCTCTGCCACGTACGGCATCAGTTACACGACGGCATTTGCCAGCGTCTACAGAAAGTCTGGCCAGGCGCTGACCCGGCAGATTTGGTCTTGTCCCCCCACAAACCGGATTCTGCAAAATATTACAGCCCAGTCCAAGTTGAGCCAGGGAACTGGGAGGGTAGGAAAACAAGACAGCTACCACAACAGGCATTTGTGCGGATAGCCAGGAAGAAACTGGCTTGATTTGATGCGATGAACGACACTGTTGCATAAAATCAAGACTTCCAGTGGCTCTACGCACCCGACTCTCACCTCACAGGGGTGTAAGTCTGGAGTAGCACTGCTGGAATCAGTGGTGTAAAACTGAAGCAAGGGGGGTCTCCGGCTGTGAGGGGTCTTACATTCGGAGTGAATCCACCTTGACTCAAGCGGGGTCAGGGTTTCACCCTCTGTCCTTGACTCAGAAATAAAGCTCCCCCCCAAAAAAACCTTAAAGCCTCGCTGCTGCCTCAGGGTGAAACTGGAGAATCTTTTTATTCCAAGATGATGCTGCCAGGCTGCATTTCACTACCTCTGGTTCTTATTATTCGGGTTGCTTAAGAGTTCAGCCCAGAGCAACGGTCCTGGCTGTACAACACGCAGTAGGTGCTGCAGCGATGAGAAGAATGGAGACGTGCTGCCACGCGCGTGCACGGGCAGGTACGCAGCATCCTTCCTCCAAAGGGGACACGCACGTTGCACACCAACAAGCGAGAGGCTAGATGTGCACCTTGCCGGGGTCGTTTGACCCCAGTACGCTTTCCTGCCACGGCAGGGGGTCGGACTCGATGATCTGCTCAGGTCCCTTCTGACCCTAGAAACTATGAAACTGTGACTTCGGCGGACTCTGCCTCCGCTTCTCTGCGCAGCCTGCACCTCGGGGTCTCTCCCTCACCCGCACGCAGAGCGGACAGGCAGATCCTGTGCAACCCGTCTCAGGGGATGGCGATCCCTCTCACTTCCTGCTCCAACTGTGCTGGCGAGAGAGACTTCGGCACGCCTCCCCCTCACTCTTTTAACAAAGGGAGAAGCAATTCCTACCGACATTTTGTTTAAAAAGTTGTGAGTAGCATTCCTGGGGGATGAACGTGCTTGAGAAATATCAGGTCTTATCGCAGAAGCGGAGTGGCACACAATCATGTGATTTTAAAGCCCTAACCTACAGCCTGGACTCTCCTCAGCGCTTCTTATCTGGACAGCAAAGAGACTGGGAATCTGCGCAGGGCCTCAGCACCACCAATGCCCTGTCAATGAGGGCAGAAGTGACACCTTGGAGACCGGTGGGTCCAGAGGCGTGGGCTTTTGTAGGCAATGGCCTCCTGTCCGATGCCATGAAGCATCACGCTGTGAAGCAATGGGTGGGAACGCTGCAGAGGCCTGCGCTGAGATGGGCTCGACGTGTGGTTCACTACGTGGCACCTGCTTGGGAAGCTGAGGACATTCCTGACCCGGCTCCACGACCATGGGAGCCTCCCATCCTGGGAAAAACTCAGGCGCATCTGCGAAATCCACAGCTCCAAGCAAATGCCAGGCAGGAAATCAGTGCAAGATAAGCAGCCTGTCACTGTGCATGAAGCACACCCCCCAGAGCACCCAAGATAGCTTAGTCAAGACATCCCAACAGGCCTGGCTCTTCCAGACATTTTCCAGATGCTCGGGTCAAACACGTGGCCCCTCAAAGGGTTCGGGGAATGTCCACACAACCGCACGGCTTCCTTTCTGCACAGACCCACGGTGCTGGAAAGCGCTGACGGGGCTCAAATGCAGCCCACACTTTTCGTGTGCCACGATGCAGAAAAACAGCTCGTGGATAAGAAGGGTGCAGGGGCAACTGCTTCCCTATCTCGGACGGGGAGCCCGCCACAACGTGGTGTGGAAAGCCAGGCAGGGAACGAGGATGCAACACAGGGAAAGGCCACTCAGCCCATCCCTCAGCGCCTCTTAGCCATGCAAACGGGGACATGCCCAGGTGGCTTGCGATGTCCGAGTTGTGCTGCCTCCCATGTAGGACGGACCAAGGACTGTCACCTCACTTGGGTTTCCAAGCTTTGGGACAAGCTGAAGACAAGCCCGCCCAGCAGCAATGTGAAGGGGCAATGGAAGTGCACGTCTTAGCACAGCAGCCAGGCCTCAGGCTGCACGACGAGAGAACAGCGAAGGTCCTGGGGGCGCTGAGAAGGGGCTTCAGATCTGTCCCTGGGAGCAGGGGCTGGGGTTAGAAACAGCCGCCAGGGCAGAATAAGAGCTCGAGGCTTCACTCACCATGCTGAATGTCCTTCCAGAGGACCCAGTATTTGGAATTATCTTCAAAGGTCACCAGGCAGCTCTGCTTGGAGCCGCTCACCTGCACAGACAAGGAGAGACATCAGATGCCATTCACTATTTGGCATGCCTTAGTGTCTTCCCTAACCCCAGGGGGAGGCAGGAGCAAATGCACAAACCGCAGCAGATTCACACTCCTCTACAACCCGCGTGACGGGACGAGAATGAGGAGCGTCACTGAGCCCGAGGTCATTTCTCCCAGCTGACGGCTCCCTGGGTTGCCAGGATCTGCCTCTCTTGGGCTCAGTACTGACCGCAGCTGTAGCACAGACACTGGGTTTGCCCCCAGCGATCCTGGCGCCTCCTCACTTGTCCTTGGTTAACAGCAATGGCACATAGCATATATAACACCTGCCATGGGAGGCTCTCGCGGTCCCAGAGGTGCGCGAGTGCGAGCCCTTCTCCTGCTAGAGGAACGCAGAGCCAAGACAGGCCCCCGGGCCACTGGGGCGGGACCCCTGCATTTGCACCCCACTGCTACGCACATGAGCAAACCAGAGGCCAGGAGAGATGCAGGGTCTTGCCTGATGCTCTACACAAAGAATCAGACTTGCTGGAGACAAGAGAAACCATTTCCTTCATGTTTTGGATGCAACAAGTTTCTCATATTGGTTTTCGCTCTTTTGGCTGTTTTTCCATTTCCTTCCCAAGACTAGATGCAATGGCAACTTTCCCGCCGGATAACGAACCCCAAAACCTCAGGCCCCGAACCCACCTTTCGATTGCAATGGACTCTGTTTTCATTCAAAAGAGACACCCGACCCTTTTCCAGCAAAACGGGCCCATTTTTGAGCTGAGTAATTTGCTTCTTGTTGCCCCCCATCTGCACGTGCAGAATAGAAACCCCGTTCTCGAATGCCCCCTCTCCTGCTCAAGCTGTTTAAAAAAGGACTAATAGAAGAGCAGCCAGTAACAACCCAAACCATGATCTTTACACCTGGCCCACCTTCCAACCACGGACACTGAAGCTGAAGCTCGCTCAGAGCTAAGTGTGTGTGAAAGGACCTTTCTGAAAGAAATGCTTGTAAGAAGCCGTCTCCGCTGTCCCTCAATGCGCCGGTACCTCATTTACTCCCCAAGGAGCTGATCAACGAGATTAAAAGGATCTGGCCCTGCAGATGGTGTTTAATTTTAAGGGGAAGGGAGACCCAGCTTGGACAAACCCCTGGACCCAGAGCGAGCCCTCTACCCCCGCTTCCAAGGAGAGCGGTCGCAGCGTGGGGTGCTAACGTGAGCGCCCGACTGCTCGGCCAAGCGAGATTGCAAAGAGAAATACCCGAAGAGCGTAAAAGAGACTGCAGTTGGGGAGAAAAGGGAGAAAGGGCTCCTGCCTGAGTAAGGGGCGCTCACCTCAGCCTCTGACAAACCTCCGCGGGGACCGACAGTGTCAGAACCAAACCTGCCACATCCACCCGCCCACAACTTTTTAATCCAATTTAATTTTAATTCAAGGCCCAACTTTCCAACCCTGGTCCCAAGCCCGTGTATAAGAAGAGCCCTGGGGTGTGGGGAGGGGGTATCTGAAGCCTGGATGTGCACTCAGCCCATTACGGAGCCAGGCATCCGGGGCAGATTGCAGCCCCGGTGACATTTTGAGCGCGCCAACTCGCGCGCCTCTCGGGTTTCGGCTCCAGCATTAAAGAGCGGAGGTCGTGTTAGCAAAGCGGCGAACGCCTGCTACTTTACCCTCTTGATCTTGCCCAGGTAATAGAGCCCGTCGGTCCAGCGGCACAGCACATACTGCCCCTCCGTCAGTTTGACCATCAGATCTTTGCAGCCGTTCACGGACGCGTCGACCGACGCTTGCTGCAGGTGGCTGGCCGCCGCGTAGACATCTCGGATGATTGGGTTCAGGGTGCCGTTCTCCATGAGCCTTGGCAGACGCTGCCGAGAAAACAGAACGAGGTTTAGCCTGCTGTCACAACCCACGGTAAGGATGTTCTCGGTCCGGCAAAATCCCTTCCCTTAAATCTTCCACGTGCCGCTGGGCTACGTCGCCTCGCGCACTCAGACACGGTCGGCGTATGGACGGGCCATCGCGCACGTGACGGGAGGCTCCGTCAAAAACGCGTTAGAGGATTATGGAAGTTGCTCTTTATCCCCATGCATCTCAACTCCCACGTTCCTCTGCCGCTGCACAAACCCCAAGCCCCAGAGGACAGCGTAGGAGCACGCGCACTCAACACACTCTCAACGGAAAACGGAGACAACGAGCCTCGCTTCAGTCCTCGAGAGGCGCGAAGGACCAAAAGCAAGCGAGCAGTGCTAAATCAGCTGGGTTTTTCAAACACCTTCGTTTTTCTTGGTCGAAAGGTGCAACTAACCACACGCAGGTGCAAGACAGCTTGGCGGGAAGGTCCCCGGGGACCTTTATTCTGATGCTATCCCACGAATCGTGACACGCACAACTTGCCTACTCCACGCCCGGAAACGGCGTAGACTATCAACTCAGCCCGCTGTATCCCTGGGTCTTTCCACGCAAGGAAAGAAATAGGCTGCATAAATGGAGAGAAGCCTACGGGTTATTACTGAGCTTTCCTCGGACTAACATTAAGGGTTAGAGACTTTCTCAACTCAAGCTAAGGGCAAGCCAGGCCAGCTGTAGCCCAGCTCAGCACGCCGCCCGAAGGGCCTTCGTCCTGGGGACCAGGATCAGCAACCAGCTGCACGCCACTGGAAAACGCAAGCCACCTTCCAATGTATTTTTGCATTAACCAAATCAACGGGACGACCGCCCCGGGACTACTGCTGCCGCCAGTCGGGTGGAAGGAGGAGAAGGAAACGTGATGAGAAGGACACCGGGGCAGCAGCAGGGCTGCGACAAGCCACCTTCGCTTGGAAGGTTTCTCCAAACTTCTTCCCAGTTTTCTGAGCCTCTTGGCTTGGCAAAACGAAGCTGGGAATTCCTCGAGAGCAGTTTCCCCTCTTCCCGCTCGTGGCATCGCTGCTCCCGGACCCAGGCAGAAAGCGCAGAGCGCAGGCAAGAAAATGAAAGAAAGCAAGCAGCGAGGCCTCCATGGAAAACGCAGCTCTCCCCTGACTCAGAGCTAGGCAGTTCTTAGGAAAAGGCTCGAGTCAGAGGACTGAGCGGTCCCCCCGCCCCGCTCCACTCGTCCTGCTCCTCGCCGCACCGTTAAGCGAAGCCCGGCTCGGCGCAACACCCGGGGCCACGCTTTCTGGCAGGCGTGCCACCCACGGAGCCCGGCGAAGAACGCCCGGCCCCTGCCCGGTCTGCCGCTCTGCTTCCCGCTCCCGCCCCGGGCCAGTGGCGGGCACCCCGCTCCGCGGCACCGAGCACTGGCAGCATCCGGCCTTGGGCTGGTTACCGGGGGGTGGCAGGCGAGTCCCCTGCAGCCGGCTGCACCAGTGCCACCGCGGCGCGCGGGAGAGCCCCCAGGTCACCCGCCTCCCGGGCTGCCCCTGCCCATCCCGGCTGGGCGCGGGGCAGGGCAGGGAGCATCTCCTGCCAGGAGCCTGTGAGCCCCCCCCCCCAGCTCCCCGCGCTCTGATTGGCTGATTCAAATGCATTCAAAATAGGATCCATTTTGGGGGGGGCGGGGTGCGGCGCGCTCCAGCCCTGCGCGCCCCGCGCCGCGGACACACGTTCACCCGCGTCCGCCCCCCCGCGCCCCC